CTTTCATTTGTTTGAAATTTGCTGCCTATTAATTTCATTTGGTGACCCCTAGTTCTTGTGTTATGAGAAGTAGTAAACACTTCCTTATTTACTTTCTCTACCCCAGTCATGATTTTATAGACCTCAATCATATCGCCCCTTAGCTGTCTCTTTACCAAGCTGAAAAGTCCCAGTCTTATTAATCTCTCCTCATAAAGAAGCTTTTCCATATCCCTAATCATTTCTGTTGCCCTTTTCTGAACCATTTCCAATTCCAGTATATCTTTTTTGAGATGGGGTGACCACATCTGCACACAGTATTCAAGATGTGGGCGTACCATGTATTTATATAGAGGCAACATGATATTTTCTGTCCTATTATCTATCCCTTTCTTAATGATTCCCAGCATTCTGTTTGCTTTTTTGACTGCCGCTGCACATTGTGTGGATGTTTTCAGAGAACTATCCACAATGATTGCAAGATCTCTTTCTTGAGTGGTAACAGCTAATTTATACCCCATCATTTTATATGTATAGTTGGGATTATGCTTTCCAATGTGCGTTACTTTCCATTTATGAACATTAAATTTCATCAGCCATTTTGTTGCCCAGTCATCCAGTTTTGAGAGATCCTTTTGTAGCTCTTCGCAGTCTGCCTCAGTCTTAACTACCTTGAGTAATTTTGTACCATCTGCAAATTTTGCCACCTCACTGTTTACCCCTTTTCCCAGATCATTTATAAATATGTTGAATATGACTGGTCCCAGAACACACCCGTGGGGGACATCACTATTTACCTCTCTCCAGTCTGAAACCTGAGCATTTATATCTACCCTTTGTTTCCTATCTTTTAACCAGATACCAATCCATGCGAGCACCTTCCTTCTTATCTCATGACAGCTTACTTTGCATAAGAGCCTTTGGTGCGGGACCTTGTCAAAGGCTTTCTGAAAATCGAAGTACACTCTATCCACTGGATCCCCTTGGTCCACATGCTTGTTGATCCCCTCAGAGAATTCTAGTAGATTGGTGAGGCATGATTTCCCTTTACTAAAACCATGTTGACTCTTCCTTAACAAATAATGTTCATTTATATGTCTGACAATATAATTCTTTATTATATTTTCAACCAGTTTGCACAGTACTGAAGTCAGGCTTACAGGCCTGTAATTGCCAGAATCACCTCTGGAGCCTTTTTCTAAAATTGGCGTCACATTAGCTATCCTCCAGTCATCTGGTACAGAAGCTGATTTAAACGATAGGTTATAGACTACAGTTCTGCAATTTTCCATGTGAGTTCCTTCAGAACTCTTGGGTGAATACCATCTGGCCCTGGTGACTTATTGCTGTTTAGTTTGTCAATTTGTTCCAAAATCTCCTCTAATGATACCTCAATCTGGGACAGTTCCTCAGATCTGTCACCTAAAAAGAACGGCTTAAGTTTGGGAATCTCCCTCACATCCTCAGCCGTGAAGACAGATGCAAAGATTTAGTTTCTCCGCAATGGCCTTATCGACCTTGAGTGCTCCTTTAGCACCTTGACCGTCCAGTGGCTCCAGTGGTTGTTTAAAAGGCTTCCTGCTTCTGATGTACTTAAAAAAAATTGCTATTACTTTTTGAGTCTTTGGCTAACTGTTCCTCAAATTCTCTTTTGGCCTTCCTAATTGTATTTTTACTCTTCATTTGCCAGAGTTTATGCTCCTTTCTATTTTCCTCACTAGGATTTAGCTTCCACTTTTTAAAAGATGCCTTTTTGCCTCTCACTGCTTCTTTTACTTCGTTGTTCAGGCTCTCTTTTGGTTCTCTTACTATGTTTTTTAATTTGGGGTCAAGTATCAGCGGGCTAGCCATGTTAGTCTGGATCTGTAAGTGGGTACTCTGCATCTGACGAAGTGGGTACTCACCCACGAAAGCTTATGCTCCAATATATCTGTTAGTCTTAAAAGTGCCACAGGACTCTCTGTTGCTTTTTAATTTGGGGTATACATTTAAGTTGAGCCTTTGTTATGGTGTCTTTAAAAAGTTTCCACGCAGCTTGCAGAGATTTCACTTTGGCACTGTACCCTTTAATTTCTGTTTAACTAACCTCCTCATTTTTGTGTAGTTCCCCTTTCTGAAATTAAATGCTACAGTGTTGGGCCACTGTGGTGTTTCTCCTGCCACAGGGATATTAAATTTAATTATATTATGGTCACTATTACCAAGCAGTCCAGCTATATTCACCTTTTAGACCAGATCCTGTGCTCCACTTAGGACTTAATCAAGCCTCTCTCTAATCTCCCTGAGCATTTCACCGTCACTATCACCATCCTGGTCAAGTGGTCGGTAATATATCCCTACCGCTATCTTCTTATTATTAGAGCACCCCTTGGCTAGAGGGGAAGTCAGCGGCAATGTGTACAACTCCTTAGAGGGTATCAGACTAAGTCTTGGCTTTCCATGCTCAGAGCTAAATGCAAGATCACCCCTTTGCTAAAGCCTTTACCAGGAACAACACCAGGGTCAGCATGAGATGGAGTTGGTGTAATAAGAGGAACGATAAAGAATAAGAGAAAAGAAAATTGGGTTTGTGTGACACAGAGAGCCCTTGGCAAAGGGTCCCCTGTTCTTTGCAAACAGCTCTCACTGCAGACCTGACAAACCCAATACACCAGACACATCTTATAGGATAGTATCAGAGGGGTAGCCGTGTTAGTCTGGATCTGTAAAAAGCAACAGAGTGTCCTGTGGCACCTTTAAGACTAACAGATGTATTGGAGCATAAGCTTTCATGGGTGAATGCCCACTTCTTAGGATATTTATTCATCCAGTATAACATTCAACGTACCTACAGAAAGCTGTGTTGTCTACTCCTGCCACATCCCAGAAGAGTCAATGGAAAAGCATCAAAGACCATGGGAAATGATCAAAACCACCTGGAGGTGAAAAGGACCATGACAGCAGGCAGGGGATCACCCTGGCTGTGAATATAGCAAATGACGGCTTTCAGTTTAACAGAGTGTAGGGAAAGGTGCTCTGCATTCAATGAGGAAAGCCTTTGAGGAGTTCAGGGGGCTGTCCTGAATATTTGGATCCTGGTCCTTATGAAACCAGCTAGTTCTGCAACTGACTGAACTTTGTGGCAAAACCTAGTTCATTAGATGGGACAGGTAGCTATTGACAAGTGTAGACCCAGGTTCATGCTTTAGGATTTTATTTTGCATTACAACCAGTTGTTCCCATCACCTTCTCTCATTCCTGCATAAATCTTTATTCTTTCTTAGATAAATCTACTTTTGTTTTATTGTAAGTGTTCACAAGTTTTCTGTGGCTTACAAGAGCAGCAGTTTAAGGTAACTCTGGTAAACTGGGGTACACAGCATCTTTGGGTGCAGATGATCTGGTACTTCTGTGAGTAGCCAGAGTCAGGGGCTGGGTATCACAGGAGAATGATTCAAAGGAAATCAGTGACAAGGGTGCCCCTCTTGTCACCCTACAAGGCAAAGTTGGTGCTGGCATAAGTCCAGAGGACAATGCTTGGGTGAGTGAAGGGCTGGTGGTGCCAGGGAGCTGACAGCCAGCTACTACAGGGCAGTAGTACACACAGGGTAATGGCGTGACTCTCAGTCCCTGAGAAACATCAGAGTGGAACAGAGAAAGAAAAAAATCTTCTCCCCTCCACCATCTCTCACTTTGTCAAGCACTTTACACAGAGGACACCTGTAAATACACAGAGGAGGCCAAATGTTACTTACCCCAGTCTCTGCAGTTTGCAGTTGGGGTGTTTCAGTCCCTCACACAGCAACTGCAGTTCAGCATCTTCCACAGACTCATACAGGTCCAGGTCTATCAGGCTCTGGCTGGTTCTGAGAACATCTGCAAGATCCTTGCAGCAAGCGCCTCCGAGATCACACTGATTAAAGCTGCAGAAGAGAGAAAGGCAGAGAAGGGGAATCACAGTGTGAAGGGGGCGCATCACAGCTGTTCTGACAAGTGGCCCCACCCACCAGTCCCTCTCCCTGACCAATCCATGTGAAGAATGAAGTAGAAGTCCTGCTCCCCCACCTGTCCCAACCCCCACCCTATTCTAATGAGGAACCAATGGGGTGTTGAGTGGAACTTCCTGCCTAAGTACCACCCCACTGTGAATGGACCAGACACCCCAATCCTTAAACCTCTGCCGTTGACCAATAAGGATTATGGTTCTGCATAAGACTTCCTCACTAAGCACCTCCCTTCACCCTCTCCACTGACCAACCAGAATTTAAGGGGCAGCCACCTGGACACCCTAAGTCCCTACCCAGCTCTCAGCCAATCATATTGGACTTGGCACTGATCAGCCCTGGGATGGTGCGACCCAATCAGAGCAGCCCCCTCACTACAGGGAGCTGTAGGGGGAGCCACCTCCCCAGACAGCTGGGCCTGGCTCAGAGGAGGAGCTGGGAGATCCAGCCCCTCCACGCCCCTGGCACTAGCTCTGCTGCTGACCTGCAGGACACAGACATCTCCTGTCTCTTCCCCCAGCTGTGACCCTCAGGCCTGGGGAGGGGAGGCAGCTGCAAGGCCCCGCACTGGCAGCATCACACCCACCTTCCTCTGACACCAGGGATCAAAAGGTGGGGGGATTGGAAGACAAAGAGGAGAACAGCCCACAACAAGGGGGATCACCAAAGTTTGGGGAAGAAGAGCCCCTGAGAGGAGGGTGACCATGTGACCCTGTTGGCAGGGCCTGTTCCAGAAACTGGTGGGGTTATTACAACAAAAAATTTCTACTGGATTCTGCATCCCCCCCTGCAGAGTCTGGGCTTCTGGGGGAGCTGCCAGCCCAGCAGAGTGTGGAATTATGGCAACAACTTTGTTATGAACATGTACATCTCAATGACCCGCCCCCAGCATGGCTGTCACATACTGCCACTCCTCCCTCCCTCCAGGGCTCACAGGGAGCCCTCTGCATCCCCGACAGCTGCCAAATCTTGCACACATGTAGAAACACCCTTGCCACCGGAACTGTCACCTCCATGGCCTTTTTCATCAGTACAGTGGTCTTGAAAATATGGTCACTACACTGAATGGGGAGGGGAGTCCCAAGGTTTGGGAGAGAAAAAGAGCCCTGGATTTATATGAGGGAGAGAAGCCCCCACTCCCTGTGGGGCCCCGAGGTTCAGTAAGGTTTGGTAGAACCCCTGAGATATTTTGGAGGGAGGAAGAGAGGTGCCCACAATGTTGAACAGAGAAAGAAAAAACCATGGGTGTATGTGGGAGATAAGCCCTAACCAGGGGAGGGTGTTCTTGAAGAAGCAACAGAGAAGAGCTCCACAAGATTTAAAGGGGAGAAAGGAGGGAAGACAAGTGAGAAGTTGAGGAGAAAGATACCCCAAAGTGGGCAGAGGACACATGAAGGGAAAGAAAGACTGCAATGGGGATAAAAAAGGAGAGACACTTCCAAATGAGGAGTAGTGGTGGGGGTAAGCTTTGGGAAGGACGTAGCTGTGCCAGCAGTGGTAGAGTTTGTTCTTGCCTTGAGCTCTGACAAGAGTCCATTCTTGACACAGAGTTTTTCCTTAGTAATTTGTTGCTGGTCTGAGATTTCTGAAAGAGGAACCTGCCCTGTTTGCTGTGTAACCATCTCACTCCAAAAAGGCAAATATATGTAAATGTGACAAGTTTCACTTAGAGTTTACCCAGACTCCCTGTCATTGATTTCTCCTCTGTTCTGCAAGGTGCTAGACACCTGCCACCACTTGGCTAAGGGTAATGCTGGAGTCAGAATAGGACATTGGTGCTAAAAGAAGGAGCAACAATACACACAGACAGACCCTGCTCTGAGGATCCTACAATCTAAATAGACCAGGAAGCCAAAATGTAGGGAAAGGAAATTTTATTTTCATTTTTCAAATGGAAAACTGAGACACAAGAGATTGAATGACTTTCCCAAGGTCACACAGAGAGTCTGAGTTTTGATCCAGCAATTTAATTACATGACCAGACTTTCTCTTGCATAAAGCTGTTCTCATTCCCTTGTGTTTCTCAGTTTCAGAAATGTCCCCATTTTTTTTAACCAATATGACCTCTCTTTTTTCTTCTTGGTCGAGGCTCTTAAGAAGGAGCTACTTATCAATCGGGTGTTGAACGTTAGTGCCTGAGCTACTGATGAGGCTTCTCATCATACTGATACCCATTGTGATTTGCTAAAGTGTGTTAGAAGAATTCAAAAATATCTAACTACTGACCAGACCAGACCCCAGTAAACATTTGAAGAGCTATTGGAAGGAAAAACAAAAATTCAAAAAGGGCTCCCTAGAAGTGAGGGTAGAGTGTGTGAGAGTGGGGGGAGGGAAAGTTGGAGTGACTCAGATGTTTTTGAAATGTCAGGTGCCATTTCCAATATTTTTGACATTTGCCATACATTTCGAGGGCAAAATTGCGTTCTATCAAAATTACAAGAGCATTCATGGTTTTCATCTGGGATTCTGTACTGGGATGGCTTGCTAGTATGTCATACTATGATATACTGTTAAGACAATTGCATACATCAAAATTACATGACCCCAAAATAGATTTGATTATTTCCCAGCAGATGCATGCACAGTCCAAAGAAAGCATCAGCTCAGTGGGAGACAGGAATGTATGCAAAGGCATTAGCAGCTCCATGATTAAGTTTACATGCAGATATACACTTGAAGCAGGACTGAAAACCCTTTCTTTCACTAGTCTACCAGCCTGGACATATTTTGGACACTAAGGTTTAACTCATCAGTTAGAAACATTTCATTGCTACCACATTAGGCACATGTCTGGCAGTCATCACCAGGGTGAATGTAGATGTGGGAAGTGGTGTGGTTTTCTCTAATGATTCAATGTTATTGGTTATCCAATCTGGAAAAAAAACCTATAAAATCACAAAAAGGCCACAAGTGATAAAAAAAACTATGTTTGATTTTCCCAAAAAGTGGCAGAAATCTTCTAAATATGACTGATAATGCAACTATGTACTCAAAACAGTACCGTTTTTGAAAGTTTGGGAAATACTCAGACCCAAGTGATATGTTGTATGCATTTTCCCCACACTTTTTTACCTTTAGTTAAAGCCAAAGTCTGTAATCATATAACAGTGTGCGCTTGTACCATGAAATGCTAAAAGAAAAAAAAATCATTTATAGACTGGACTGATTTGAGAACAGTTTTTCTGTCTGCAATTTTTATGACAATATGCAGACAGGAAGGCCCCTACCCACTCTTTATAAATGTTTTTGATATTTACTGTTCATCTCTGCAGCCATCAGGAATAGCATGATACCCTCCTTCTCTGAATTCTGCCCCTTCACAAAAAAGGAATCCTAGAAACACTAGAGGAAGTTTAAGCCTCCACTTATGACTGATCCTTAATCTTGTTGGCTGGTGAAGGACAGTAAGAGTACTTATAACACTTACTAACAACTTTTGTCCCCAACTGCCATTGAGGAGGGAAATCTATCCCACCAAACTTTTGAGCATGTATCACTCAGGCCAGCACTTACGAATCCATGCTTGATGCAGCCTGCCTTACAAGCTTCCTCCAGTGCAGTTCAGTGACCATGCAGAGCCCTAAAGTCTGACAGAGGTCTGCTTCACTCACTGTTTGAATTCTAACTGATCTTCATTGCTTAACATGAGCTTCTGCACAACGTAACAACCAGTTCCAACTATCACCTAGTCTCCCACACCTGAGCAACTGATTCCAGAAGCTACTGAACAACTACATCCATCACCTGCCTGTTGGCAATACCCAACAAGGTTTTAGGCCTGGACACAGAATAGAAATGGCACTGCTGATGCTGAGAGTGCTTCGCTTCCAGCTCTCACGTTTAATCCTAGGCAGTTCATTGATCAAAATTCGATCTCTCATGTTGCTGGGGCTATAGCCTCAAGGTTCTTATTATCTGTATTACAGTAGTACCTGTGGAGCAACCAAGAACAAGTTGCCCTCCATATGCTTTATGAAAATATGCTTGTGAATATGAATATGACATAACCGGAACGTGTTTTATGCAAAAGGTTCCATGTCAGGTATTATTACAAAAGTTGTAATCTGCTGAATATGGTTTTCCTATTTTTTTGCATATATTATTTCTATGTTTGAATTTAGGAAAATAAGGTATAAACGTGTATTACTGATGTAGTCATATTGAGTGGAAGCCATTAAGGGTGCTACAGAAACAATGAGTTGTAAATGGCTTTGTTTACCTGCTAGCCTGCCTGTGTACGTAGGGGTCAGCCCAGGAAAAAATGGGACTGGGGTCTGATAGAGACATGTGACCATGTCATCTGATACTGGAATCCATCTTAAACCGACTACTTTTCCAGGAGGGGGGGGGGGGGGTCAAACCAAACAAAAGTTTCCCGCCTTAGGAAAATTCTATATAAAGCAGGGGAAGTAAATAATGATTGTCTGGTTTAAGAGATGGCCTCCCCACCCCAAAGAGATACCTGAAATCACCTGGAAACAAAAGGATTGTAATTACAGGGGTGGAGGAGAACTGCTGGACCCAGGTCAGAAAATACAACTTTGGCCTGAGAAGGACTTTACCTGAAATAACATTGAGGGTGAGAAGTTATTATTGGTAACTAATTTCTTAGTCTATTAAGCTTAGCCTTGTGTGTTTTTTTATTATTTTACTTAGTAACTTACTTTGTTCTGTCTGTAATCTGTTATATTCACGTAAATCCCACCTTTCATTCTTAATAAAATCATTTTGTTTATTAATGAACCCAAGTGAACCCAAGTGTAAGGAATTGTTACCGAGGAGTGGGAGGACAAACAGCTGTGCATATCTCTCTTTCAGTGATAAAGAGGGCAGACACTTATAAATGTACCCTGCATAAGCTTTATACAGAATAAGATGGATTTATCTGGGGTTCAGACTCCCAGAAAGGCTGTATGCCA